TAGGCTATGGGTTGACAGCCCTGACTGTTCGCATAGGACTGGTCGTTGAGGGCGTAGAAATTGGAATGCTGGTGGTTACAAAAGCCCTTGTTGTTTAAATCTACGAATGGTGTGTAATTGCTCGCATTAAAAGCAGTTTCATATATTTACATTAAAACAAACCTTCGCCTAAATGTGATCGATCTGTCGCAATATCCTTAAAGATAGTCTTTTCAAATTCATTCAAATCGGGACAACCCGGCTGTTTGCTACCTATGATTGTCATCAAAACGTTATGATATTTGGTATTGAAATTTAACTAGATATATAAATTAAATTGTATATAATTCAATTCAAACCTCCGTTAACATAAATATCCACGTCAGCAATACTATCCATTATTCCAAAATCTATTTAACAGATTATGGTGATTATCATGTAATAGACATGAATGTAATGTTAGGCATACCGTTAACACCAGGTATTTCATTGGGTGGCGGTGTATTGGTGTGTATCGCTTGCACGTAAGTGGCATCTGTCCGGTCGAGCCTATATTGCGGGGGTTCCCCGCTATAAGCGGGTCCCGCGGGATCATCGACTGTGATGTGACCGATCTGTGGGTTCTTTACAAATTTGCCCGCAAAGCCCACTACATGTCCGCCCAGACTGTGGCCCAGGAGGTGAAAGTTTTGGGCGTTTGCGCCCAACTCTGTGGTCAGTCTATTAATAACACATCCAATCATATGCCCGACTGTCATCGTATTGGCCGCCGAATGCACGTAGTCTTTAGCGTTGGCCGGTTTATGCCAATCAACGGCTATAACATTCACACACGAGTGCTCCAGCCATAGGTCTTTGAATTTCTAGTAAATTATTGAAATTCATTGTAATTAATTTATTTATTACATAATATATTGATTATTTAATTATATACTGTAAGTATAATTGCTTGCCTGCATATATGGAAGTCCGCTACCAGGATACTTTTCGAGCCATCCATGCACTACAAACCTGGTTAATACGTTGGGATCATAACCGGCGGCCTTCCACTCATCCGATGTGGAGAGATAAGTGAGATTTGAATTGACATTTCTGTTTTTACACGTAAATAACATAAAGTTAACGTCCATTTGGTTGGGAGCGAGCGGTAAAAGACCCGCTTTATTGATGAAACCGTCAAACCCTTTGGCATATCTGCCAAAACAATAGTCTGATTGCGTTTTTATGGGCACTTTAGTTAACAGCTCTGCAAATAAGTAATCAGTTTATAATATTAATGCATAGTATTAATTGATTTGATTAACTGACTGACCGTCTCCTTTAACCGCCAAATGGGCAAATATATTCCAGGCATGTGTGAACTGAATCATACAAATTCAAATATTATTATATTTATAACTGACCATATCATTTTGTTCTGATTTATAATACGATATTTATTTATTGGTAGTTAAATACTACAACTAATATTTGTTTAACATTTAATCAGTTACTCACAAATTCATTAAGTGCACTATTCTTTTCTGAATAGCAATGCGATACCAATAAGCATATAATTACTAACTTAATCATCTTGATGGTTAGTGATTAAAACTTTAAATACTATATTATATTTAATTATAATAAAAATGAATATAATATTTTACTAAAATTTTAAATTATATTAAATCTAATTTTAATAAATAGTTTAAAACTTACGATTTATTCTATCACAAGTTTTCTATCAATCAATTCATGAAAACATACGGTGTGCCCAAAATTATTCAAAATTTTTAGTACTCAGTTATTTAAAGTTTACACTGTTTATACATATATCAGTAATTTTGAGCAAGGGCATATTTACATTTTATATTGTTTTCTATAATAAAAATTTTAAATAATTAATTTTTAGAAGAAGAAATTTTGAGCAACTTTATGGCAATGAGCACTACTTTATCAAAAAATTTTAGTTTAAACAATTTTAAAACATTGATTCATTTTTGGACACTCTGTATATATTTTTATACTACTAGAATATTTGTTGATTTGATCATAATTTATTTTGAAACATTTTTATTATGGCATGATTTAGTCAAAAAATAAAATGATTACAAAAACATTTTAAACAATTATTATTCCAGTCATTACAAGTTAAATCTATGTTATACTAGATACATATACATTATTCTAAAACAGTTCCTTGAATATATAAAATCAACTATATGTTATTACTACAACAATTTATTTATTTTAATTTATTAATATTTTAATAAATTTATTTATTTAAATTGCAAAAGTATGACAATTGCTATAATTAATAAATGTTTTAATATTTTAATATAAACAAGATACAACATGCTTAATATTCTTTAAAACTGTTTTGATAACTATAAAGGATTAAAATAATTAATAAATTCAATTATTTTCTAAATGCTTTATTTAATGAAATAGTAAAATAATCATTTTATCATGATTAAATTTTGTTTTAATTAAAACTTTCTCCATTGGTTGACTTTACTGTAAATGATAGGTTATTGCGAACACTATAACAAAAACATAACCAAGTTAAAAATTTAATCATTATGTCAACATTATAACTAAAAAGCAAACCTTTCATTAATGTTACTCATGAAATTAAATCTAATCTCATTTATAACACAATTAGTGCCGAATTGGGATTTAATGGTAGCGGTTGTAGTGATTGGCAAAGGGTTGGCCACCGTATGGAGAGTAGCGTAATGTTGGTTACCATCATTAGTTTGAATCTGATTTTTACTCTTTAACGACATTTTCACATTACTTCCATCTGAGAGCTGTATCTCTAAACTACCGGAACAAGTGCTTTGACCACTGCTTACCTTCAAGTTTTAATTAGTAAATTAATACCAAAATCAGATATAAACATATTTTTACATTTACCACAATCTGATAGTGAGACAAACAATAGCCAGACTGACGCGCGTCTCCTGTATTGATGTAAAATTTATTATTTGTGTCAATTATATCCCAATTGTTTTTATTGTCCCAATAATCTAAATTCAATTCCATTGGTCGACAGGCTTTGCTATCGGATCCACAATCACCGCAAAGACCATTCATGAAATCCTCATAAGAGGTGCAGTGATAGCCAATGGGCTGACAACCTGTGCTCTGACCGTAGGACTGGTCATTGATAGCAATATTATTAGACCTGACATGACTACACAGCAACAAGTTGAGCACAGCTACATTAAATTACAAAGTAAATTGATTGTAATTTTAAATGACGTTTGAAATTTCAAATAATTATTTATAAGCCACACATACATTTAGGAACTTTCGTGGGGTTAGTGAATAAATTATTGATAACCGGCAGTAATGTTGCATTGATTAGTCCACATCCTGGCTGAAAACTACCTGTTTATTAATTTTTACATATTTTTAATTTTAATTTACATTTTTAATAGAAGCAAAATCTTTTTAAAAGTAATTAATAAATCTCAAATAATTAATAAATTTAAGTCAAACCTCCATTAAAGTATGAATCAATGTTTCCCAAAGCTTCCAAATCACCCAAACCTAACAAATAATTATAAAGATTACATAACATATGGTTCAACATATAAGCCACGGTCGCGCATACCCTGAAGTCCTGGCACACCATTGGGCGGAATGCCGTTACTATGAATGACATTAACAAAGGTGGCGTCTCCGACGGCCAGTCTGTTCTTCGCTGGCTGTCCCGTAAATCCCGGTCCCGCGGGA